TCTTATACACATCTAGATGTGTATAAGAGACAGGGGGGGGGGGGTTGCTTTTGTCTGATTATTTAGTTTTCTTTTGTAATCTGCGATTCAATCAGGAATTCTGAGGCGACTGAAATATTGCAATTCTACAGAGCATTTTCTTTTCCCCAGATTGCACTAGGGTTGCCCTGGAACCCTGCCCAGGATGACTGAAAGGGCCTGCAATCTTTTAGAGTGGGTACTGAAAGGGCCTGCGATCTTTAAGAGTGGGTACTGAAAGGGCCTGCAATCTTTAAGAGTGGGTACTGTGTTTCTGCAAACCTCAACTGTTGAGTCGAAGTAGCTGTAGAGTCAAAGTAGCTGTAAAGTCAAAGTACCTCGAGTCAAAGCAACTTGAGTCAAAGAAAGTACTAAGTGCGATATGTCTCTCTGTACATTGATTTTCTTTTTATGATCTCTTTGCACTTGTGTTGTGTGCTTTGGCTGCTGCTTTTTTCATGAGCTCCTTTTTCTGCCTACGTGTGTGAAAAAAACTGGCATGGGTTGTGGCTGTCACATTGTCCGCCTCTGTCTGTAAATTGTGTTGCTGAACATTTTGTTTTCTGTTGCAGGTTAAGTACGCCAAGGCGACTCTGGAGGTCTGTCCTGGGAGGGTTAACTTTGAACCGCATCTTCAAGCGTTCATCGGGTCGAAGGCACAGAACTACAAGCAACTGACAGTCAAGTATCGCATCAACTCAGCACCGAAGATTGTCCTGAAAGATGAGTCTGGCAATGCGAAGGAAACCATGAGGTATGTTTATGGATATCCGAGGCTTGTTTTCATCCCCCAAAACCCGTTGCTTGCGGTTGCTGATTTGTGGGGGGGGGGGGGGGCTTAGGTCGAATTTAGTTCAAAAGTGTAGAGTTCTTAAATCCGAAACATTCTGCTGCTGACGCTTTCTGATGATTAATCTCTTGATTGGTGTTTAGCATTGCAAGGGTGCAAATGCTACGCGTTTGTTGTTCGACAGACCGGAAGATTGAGCATCATCCCAGTTCACAGACAAAAACTCTGTGTCAGTAGCGCGTTGTCTTTTCTAACCCTGTCGATGGCTGTTTTTTTATGTACGTCTTTCTCAAGATAGAGCATAAGGCCCTGTTTAAAAAAAAAAAAAAAGATAGAGCTGCTTTACCCTCTTGGGCTACTGGTCCATATGACTGGCGCATCAAAGGCCTTCGGTGGAGGGTCACAAAATCGGCATCGGTATACCCATGTGTCCTACCTGGGGCTCCAGAAAGGATATTTAGGGGCAGGGCTCACTGCTTCTGTGTTCGTGCTTGGCAAGCATGAACCTATCCATTGTGATGACCAGATACATGCTCTGGAAGCATCAAAAGGTGCCAGAGTGGCCTGTTCCTCACAATTATGGTGCTCATAGCTCGTCTGCAGTTTGAGCTCGTTTGTATGAATTTTCAGCTGTTCTTGTCGAGCACGACTGCAGTTTTAAAAAAGAGGAGTGTTTGGTTGAAGCATGAATCAAAATTTTATAAGGGAGGGTTGTGTTTACGCTCTTGATCTGTTTCTAAACAGTGACGTGTATGTTCACATTCGGCCCGCAGGCAGGCACCGACTTGTGGATCTTTAACTCGCACTGAACATAACAGTTCCTTGTCGAGTGGGACCACAGTTTGAAGATCCGTGAACAATGCACGTGTTTCATTGGGGGCAGTGGTATGAAGGTGTGTGCGTGAAGTGAACATGCATGTAATAGGGCCTCACCCAGTGGTACATGGAGCATGAAAAATGGCAAGTGCATCTTCTCATAGAAGGTGGCCAGGTACATCTGGCATCTTTTGGATTGTCACATGCATCTGGCCACCTTCTGTGTGAGTAGTGCAGTGACTGTTGGCGTCAAGATGATGTTTTTTTTATGGTAAACCACTACCGTCTTCACCCGAAAATATCGCCTGGGCATTGTATACGAATACAACGCCCGGCGGTGCCCGGCGGGCGTCGTATTCGTTTATAACGCCCGGGCGTTATATTCAGTAAATTGGTGGCAACTTCGTTGGGGGGGGCCAAATTCCGAAAAAAAAAAATTAAAAAAAATGTATATTATTCTGTAAAAAAAATATGTTGTCCGGAATTGCAATGCGACCATCTTTTGGCTGAGGGTCACTACATAATTTTATTTATTTATTTATTTATTTATGTTTTCGCATTATACGCCGCGGACACGCCCTTCAGAACTGTTTTTTTTTTTTTTTTTTAAATAGGTCCTTATGGCCCTGGCTCCATCTCCATTCTGGGGAGCGTCAGTCCGGCTCCTATTCCACCGGAAAGTCAGATTAAGATATTACATCATGAAGCACACGCACGCTTCCTTCCGTCTGGCTGAGGAAACCCTGACCAGCATATTGATTACTCCAGCATTGTGGAGGATTGACTATCAGCTTGCCTTACTTCCACCTTTCCTCTCAGGTCCACTGCATGTGGACCTTCCAGATAAAACATAAAGAGAGAGAAGGGTACTAGAAGCTACAGAAGGTACAAATGTCGGAATTCCCCCTTCCAGATTACGTGGCCTGTGAAGGCTCTTGTCCATCTGTCGGGTGGGATCTCTGCCCACTCTACCTCGCTTCTGAGTTGTGCCAGTCTTTCCACCGTATGCGAAAGTCATTGATCTCTGCTACTTTGCCCCCTGCGAGCCACACCTTGGTAAATTTATCCATAATTCTCTTCTGTTGCTCTTCGTCCTACAGAATAATTTATAAACTCGGGAAAAAAAAAAGAACCGAAATATGCCCCTTGGAAGTCAAACCTCCTTTCAACCCCCTTTGAAACCCATGTATATCCCCCTCTCGCCCTTTCAAACCCATGTATACTACCTCTACAAGGCACTCTGCCCATGGAACATTCAAATGTAACGCCCGGCTGTTCTATTCGAATATAACACCTGGGCGTTAGTACTCGAAGGGGCGTTCTATTTGAGAAAAAGAAGAGTAAAAACGAAAATCTTACCTTTTTAGGGTAAGTTGAATTAACTCGAATATAATGTCCGTTAAAAAAAAATAAAAAAAATAAAATAAAACGCCTGGGCATTATTTTCGGGTGAAGACGGTAATCCCCCTAAAATTCGGACTTCCAGTATGGTCAGGAAGCGGAAAAATTCTGGGCCTACTGGCTGCAGCGTGGAGCAAAACGATGCAAAAAAAAAGTGCGTATTCGCTGTTCGAAGTTAGTTTGCCGTGTGGGATTCTTAGAAAAGAAATACTTTTCTTTTTTTGTCCACTTGTATCTTCAATTCAATGAGGAAGTCAGATATGACCCTCGGCCAGTGGGGCTGCCTGGATATTTCCCCGAAACAAGCAGCACCGAATCTATGGAGCCGATATTTTCCGGGAACTTTTGTGCACAATTCTGGGCACGGCAAACCGTCACTCTGCGGCCTCGTTGCATGGTGGAGAGATCACCGGAATGCCAATTTTAAATTATTTTATCCAGTCGGGGCCACTGGTGGTTTACGTAATATTTACTTTCCCACCATCATCACGTCAACATGCCTGCTATTGCTTCAGGTTGGGGTTTGGGGTCTTAACAGGGCCTCAGAGAGGAGGGGACATAAGGCGGGGGGCGGTTGGGGGGGGGGGGGGTTCTGATAGTCGGAAACCAGAAAAATTTAGAACTCCATTTTGAAAAGCGTTGAGTTGGTTGCAAACTGTGCAGAAAGTGAATAGGGGCCATCTTTTCATCACTGACCGTCATCTGTTGTTTGCACTTTTACGGTGTTAAACCGCCTGTACATGGGCCCATCCAAGTTGAGAATCGGATTGAGCCTCTCTGAAAATTTCTGAGGCTCGCACGCCTTTGATAAAATACATCAGCGGCGGGCCTCCGAAAGGGGCCCGCAGCCGATGGCTGGCATGTACTGGTGCTTTAAAGCACCCTAAAAGTAACTCCCGATGACCTACCTGTTAACGAGCGAACCGCGGAGACCAGGAGATGCACACAATAAAATGTCGTGCAGGCCTGCATGAAATTTGCTGGCACCCATGCACTGCTGGGTAATGGGTGGATCATCAGGAGGTACCGGTGTTTAAAGGGTAAGGAGGTAGGTAGGGCTGAGGATGCTAACAGCTCCTGGGCCCAACTGAAGCCCAAAAGCCTTTTTCCCCTGAATACAACGCACGCTGACGATGAATGTATTACGGACAATTTTTCCGGTTGAACACAGTCATGATGAAGTTGACTTGTGTTCGAGGGAAAGCGGTAGTGAAAACTCTGTAAAAACTCTTCTTTCCCCCTCCCCCCCCCACCATCAAAGATCAGAATCTGGACCCGGGGAGGAAGGGGGGGGAGCTGTACTGTCAGGAATGTTGTCAGAAAGTGCGCTGGATGTGCTGAGGTGTGTGTGTGTGTGTGTGTGTGTGTGTGTGTGTGTGTGTGTGTGTGTGTGTGTGTGTGTGTGTCTGGATGATGGTCGGGATTCCCGCAATACGAGATCATGGTGCAAGACTTAGTAATGATTTACTACCCTCCTCTGGGCATTCTGCATGTTAAATTAAAAATTCCTCTTCTTTTTCTGAACAGGGCCTTACGGTTCGGCCTCCTCCCCCCCCCCCCCCCCCCCTTAAACAGGGCCTTACGGTCCTGGCTCCTTTCCATTCTGGGGAGCAACAGTCCGGTTCCTATTCCACTGGCAAGTCCGAATAAACATTACAATAAGAACCATGCACGCTTCCTTCCGTCTGGCCGAAGGACCCCTGAACCGCATTGATTGCTCCACCTTGGTGGAGGATTGACTGTCAGCTTGCCATACCCCAATCTTTCCTCTCAGATCTGATAACCCGATCTGCCAGATAGATCCATGCCACCTAGAAAGAGCTAGCTCAGCCTTCCATTTGTGCACATGTTTTTTTTTTTTTTTTTTTTAATATAAACTTTACCCCTCAATTACAATTTAACTTTACTCCTTCCTAGTCATGAGGTAAAACCTGCACTATTCCCCTCCCCTACAACCGGTAACTTTCTTCCTCTCTATCTTTCTCCGAAAAGCCCTCAACTCTGTAGCTTTCTTCATTTTTATCACCTCCCTTAAACCCTAAACCTTACTGACCCCCTAGAAAGACTAAGTTCAGAGTGCCATTTCTTCATTTCCTTTTATTCCCTTAAACCCTAAACCCTAAACCCTATACCCTAGTGACCCCCTAGAAATTTGAGTTTAGGGTACTACACCTTCCGTCCTATCTGAACTTAAGTTTTTACCCTTATGAGCCTAACACTCTATTTTTGCCCCCGCTGGTTTTTTATTCTCGAACCAATGGAAGACCAATCTGTATCCTTCAATGGTTGCTATCTTTCCCTTACTCAACGTTATCTGGCTAAAAGTCCTAAATATCTCCCGTGCTTTCACCGGATTTAGCTGAGCTTGTCGCCTTGTTCTTTGCCATTGGGCCGTGATATCCGTGTCCAGAAGGTTATGCAAAACTTGCTTAGCCTCCAGTCTATGCATTTGTCCCTTTCCTATCGTCAGGGCGAATTACCTTCTTCACCCGAATACAAGGTACGGTCATTGTCGTTGTATTTGGTGCATTTTTCAGTCTACATGTAGCAATAATGACCTTATGGTGTATTCGGGATTCACTGTTAGGCCAGCCTTGCTTCATTCTTGAGTTCCTCTAAGACTACTAGTAGGTAGGCTGCCAGATGCACTTGAACACCTTGATTCGTCGGTGCTTGGATCTGTCGGTCGTTCAGCCAGGGTGCGGGCCAGAAAAAAAAACGAACAGGCACGTTTTCTTTTTTGGCTGCCGCCGCCGGCCATGTAGCTCAGGTGGGCCGTGTCCCGGAAGTTGCGGCTTGCGAACGCCCGCGTCACAGAAAAAGTGTATGGGAATTTAAAATTTTTAATTTTACTGATGGTTAAACCGCTGTCTTCCTCTATTTTGGTTGCCTTCACCCCTCCTATCTTCGGGTAGGATTTCGCTCCACCCGAGGTTGTTGGCTCTCCTATATTCAGCCTCCTTATTTGCGAGTTGTGCCTGTCCCTCCATCTGAGCTTTAGGCCATTGATATTTGCCAATCACCTTCTTTTTTAAACTTGGATTTGGACATCAATTCAATTCCGCGTCCGGGTTGTTT